TACCCATGAACCTCCAAGTAGAGCGCATCTCCCCTGGAAGTCTAAGGGTTGATGTCACTGAGCACTCGACTTTGGCACCATCATCATTTTTTCGGCCATGCAGGAGTGCCAGGGATGAAGCTCCAATCTGTTAACGTGTAAGGTTTAGGTGGGCTCAGCAACCGGAACCATGAATCCCGGATGTTCTGCATCCGCAGCCGTTCTTCCTCAAAGAACCTGGCACTGAGCCTAGAGCACATGACAGATGCGACGCGCAAACCATGCCAGCTGTAGACTCTATGACCCAGGCGAGACTCCAAACCGTAATCCTTGCTATGCCTCAAGCCCTGCTTACTCAGCTCGAAGTCTGAAATCGGTCTGCTAATCTGAAGGTTCAATCCTGCAATCTCAGAAACCCTTGACTCAAAAATATGCTCCAACCCGTTCCGTCCGTCTTTTCCGCACTATGCGACCCGGAGCAGCGCTGAGGGTTAAGTGTCGCAACCCTGAGCTCCAGTTAAACTGTTAAACTCCAGCACCATCGAGACCCGCGAGGGAGATTCCCAAACGCCATACCTTCTGCTAGCGTGATGCCCTCTTCTCCCAAAAAGTGGCAAAGTGTCTGCGAAGCCATTCGCGGCATGGAAACGCGCGTGCTTCCATGCAGGATTCCTGGAATTAGAGGAGTTTTTCTCCAAGTTTACGGTCCAGAGTTTAGGCTTGTAGCTTGGGGTTTAGTGAGCGCAGGGTTCAGCCACGATAGCATGATTACCATCTGGGGCTTCGCGGATAGAGAACTTAGCAGTTAGGGTTGCGTGCGTGTGTGTGTGTGTGTGTGTGTGTGTGTGTGTTCGTTCGTGTTCAACCAATTCTTTTTTAAGGGTTAGGGGGCAAGGTCTCTGAGCCCTGAGACTCTTGAACGCTACACGCTAAGGCCCTCGGCTCTTCAACCGTAAAGACGGACACGTGAAGACCCTGAATCCTAGGGGAGGCCATCGGTTCGAATTGCGCAGGGTTAGGGTCGCTAATCCTAAACACCTCAATCCCCAAACCCATCTCGCCCGGATCGTCGGTCCCTAAACCCGTAATGAAACCCTGAAGCCCCTAAGCCCCTAAACC